CTAGAACTCAAATCATCAGTTCTTTCCAGTCATTGCTCAAGTTGTAGAGCCCTAGATAAAGCTGCTTCTTTTAGGCTCGATTTTAGAGACTTTCAACCCTCTCGACTTTGGCGGTGAAGCAAGAGCATGCGCATAAGACCGTGGCAACTGTTTTCTTGTACTTATCTACCCAAAATGCATTATCAAATAGCCTGCTTATTAGTTTGCAGAAACTAAAGAACGGTTTGAGAGAAGGGTCTGTCGAAGTCGGTCACAACGAGTGGTGTTCCAGTATTTAATGTAGCTGTAGACCACACATTTCTGTGATATAGTTAGGGGACTATAATGTGCCAATTATTAAGCAGTGACTGAGTTATTCCCAAAAAAAAAGAGAAAAAAGATTTCCTTTGTGTATGTCGTGCATATAGTATTTTGTAAAATAATAATAATAATATTACCAGCTATTATTATTATTGTTATAGGACAAAAATGATCCGAAGCCTCAGATAAAATCTCAGTATTCTCTGTGTGCTCTTGACAGAGGAGTTACTAGTTTTCATTGATACTGAAAAAAAATGGAAATTGTTGGTTGCCTTGAAGTTGGAAGATTCTTCTGGAATCTCCGGCTTGCGTTTCTCTCCACCTCCTTTGGGATCTACGTAGCGCAAACCAATCACAGGGACTGTGGGAAGGGGGAGGGCAGAACAGGCGAGCTCATCGATGGATCCTCCTCGGCCTCGATTCGTCGGTCTCGGACACTGCTGCAACATGGTTTTATTTTTTTAACTATTTTTTTAGAGATGAATAAATCAATATGAAATAAATGTACGTTTGAAGATGTTTATGGTAAAGCCGGTGTGATGGAGAAGGCTATTTTGACGTCTAACATTAGAGGTAGTGTTTGTGTTGGAGGAAAAGCAGGCTGCACTTCAAAGCTGATCGAATTCTCTCCCTATATTTCAAGAGTTAGTTTGTGCAGAGATGTTGATTTTTCTCAGCAGGCTGAGCGTGTGCCCTCTTCTGTGTGGAAATGAAGTAGATTTGATACATATTCTTCTGTCCTCCTGTGAGAATGCCTTTCAGAAACACAGCTAATGTAATGTAATCTAATGTCATGTAAACTGCATATAATATGTAGCAGTGGGTCAGATGGATGTGTTCTCACTCGGAATGGATTTGAACATGTTTTTTCACACATATCCCCTTTCTCGGTTCAACTTTTGACTTGTTTTATACTGTAAGTAGATAAATGGTGACGGAGCTGTGATTTGTGTAATAGTTTCGTGTGTCAACGCTCTTTTAACTCAAGCACAGAGCTTCTGAACAGCACTTTTCTTTGTAAATAATCACTTAATGTACAGAAACCACGGCTGAAATGGTTTCTGAATATGCTGAGACCAGTGTCAGCAGTTACGACATTTGCTGTGCGTTGTTTCTCTTTTTTCTGATTTTCTTTCTTTTTTCTTTTCTTTTTAATTAATTAATCATGTGCAATATGTATGTTTCGGTTTTGTACATTCAGAATTGCGACCAATTGATTCGTTGGTTTGTTTGTTTGTTGTTTTTGTTATATTTCTAATATCATACGTCAAACCCCATATTGTTTCTCGCCCCCTCTGACATCTTGTTCTCCCTGGTCTCTGTTTTACCTGCAACCTACAGTCAGGAATGTCAACTAAAGTACTCTTGCATGTATATTGTACAAAATATTCTCTAGATATTGCATATTTCCAGAGATATTATCAGTGTTACTGTTGACCGTTGTTAAATGAGTGATGATGATGATGAACATATTAAAATCTGTAGACTTCTCTTCATTCAAAACGTCTTTATCCTGTTTCGTAACGAAATAAATTCAATTAGGAGACATCTGTTTATTGTTTATCTGGGCTTGAAAAATCAAACACTGATTTTCAAATAGTTTATAAAGGAAAATATTAGCCTGTAGCCTAATCGTAATGAAGTGCCACCGGGGCACATCCGTATAATAATAATAATAGAAGCTCACAGATAATAGAGCATAAATCCGTGTCTATGTTCTTATCAGACTTCATAATTAATCAGACTAGGACAGCCCATCTCTGTGTACAAGTGCAATAATCCGAAGCCATTTCTGACTAAATAACCCACCATAAATTCAAAGAACTGTCAATAAAATGTCTCTTTGTATGTTTTTTTTTTTTTTTTTAGGTTTTTCGCCTTTGTGTTGAATGTTTTTCATGGATTTCAGTGCAGTGTATTGTAAATGTATTGTGGTGCTTCAGCTTTGTCAAAACGTCACAAAGCTTTGCATGCTGATGCCTAGCACCTCTGGTTGAAATATGAGCTTATTTAAAAATGAAGAAATGTGCTTTCTTTTAATTATGTTTTTTCCTCATCTTTTGTTTGTTCGATTGGTCGGTTTTATTGTTTTGTTTTGTTTTGTTTTGTTTTGCTTTTTTTAAGTGATGTTGGCTTGTGCCACTGCATCTCAGCATGTATATCACTTGTTTACCCCCTAAAAAGATCTCTAAAAAGTAGTGCTGCCAAATCGATTAATCGTGATTAATCACATCCAAAATAAATGTTTGTGTTTACATAATAGATGTGTGTGCACTGTGTATATTTAAATGTGTGTATATATATATATATATATATATATATATATATATATATATATAAGTACACAGACATACATGTATATATTTAAGAAATATTTACGCGTGTATATATATACATATTCATATTTATGTATGATTTATATTATATATATATATTATATTTCTTATGTGTTTTTATATATACACAGCGCGCACACATCTATTATGTAAACACAAACATTTATTTTGGATGCAATTAATCAAGATTAATCATTTTTTACAGCACTAAAAAAGACACTTCTGTTTTTCTGTAAAAAGCCTGTGTCGCTGTATATATCACAAGCCAGTGTGAGAAATTAGAAAAAAACATCATATATATAAATCTTATATGGATGATAAAGGGAAAATGAATCGGTAGTAGGTTGGGTTGACGTGTACATAGTCTGTATTATACTTTTTTGTTTTTCGCTCAGCCATCGCATTGACTTGAAGTCCTTTTCCACCTTAAAGAGACTCATATTAACATGACACTGCTTTTGCTACCAAATGTACTTCTTGAATTTGTCATAGGATCTTCTTTAATAAGCCGACTGTTACATAACTCTCATCGCCTTTCATGTGCGTCCACTCATACATTTCATTTTTTTTAATTACCAAACAAGGAGAGGATGGTTTTAATATGCATTCTGTTTCTAAGTAGATGATGAGACCCTATTGATGTTTAACTATAACTGTGACCATGTTGAGAACATGAAATAAATCAATATACCGAAAATTCCTAACTTGTATTGTTCTGTATTAAAGCACACATTGATGTAAATTATTTTACATGCATGTCTCCAAGTCCTTAACATGTTCTGTGAATCTCAAAAGCCATTTTATGAATGCATTCTTGTATCATAGTTGTTTACAAATCATGAGAAATACCTTCAAAACTCTCCAAGGCAAAGTTGAATTCAACATACAAGTACATTTGAGTCAGCGAGGTCATTGCGTAACTTGTTTTATGAAGGTTTGGTGATTGTCAGAATCCTTGCAATAGTCTTTCTCTGTCTGACATATTCTTATGCATTCATTTCTGTTGATATTGATCAAATTAAAGCATCCTGTGAATAACTGGTTGGTTAGTCTCTGCCTTCTCAGTAGTCCTTGGGAGCTTTTATGAGCTTTGATGAACTTGAGTTTCTTAGTATCTTTACATCTGTGGATGTCAAACTCAAGATCAGTGCATCCTCCTTTATGCGCTGATAGAAGTTACACGTTAGGAGCCAAGACATCACACAAAATGCTTTGAAAACTGTTTTCAACATTAATGATAATAATAATAATAATAAATAAATAATTCTTGTGCAGCAAATCAGAATATTAAAATGATTTCTGAAGGATCATGTGACACTGAAGTCTGGAGTCATGGCTGCTGGAAATTCAGCTTTGCATCACATTACATTTTAAAATATATTACAATAGAAGTCAGTTATGTTAAATACAATATTATTATTGTACTGTGTTTTTGATCAAATAAAAGCCTTGTCTTGGTGAAAAGACGTTTAAAAATCTTACCAATACCAAACATTTGAATGGTAGATAGGTTACTTTACTTGAAGGGGTGTGCGTAAGACTGACATGACACCTTCATAATCATGACATGACACATGTCATGAATATGAAGGAGGTTTTATGCATGTTTATGACAACTGTCATTAAGTGTCATTCGCTCAGTTATGTCATTTTTAATGCAAATATGACATTACTTGACCTTACCCTAACCTAACCCTACCCCTACCCTTACCCCTAACCATAGCCCATAACAAAGACATCTCAAATAATGTCATCTTTGCATTAAAAATTACATAACTGAGCGAATGACACTTAATGACAGTTGTCATAAACATGCATAAAAACCCTTCACATGTCATGATTATGAAGGTGTCATGTCAGTCTTATGCACACCCCTTCAAGTAAAGTGTAACCGGTAGATATTTTTAAAGATGATAGCCTAAGGCTGAAAGCCTCAAGATTCATGGTTACGTGAATAAAATGCACAGCACATCAGTTGTGAATGACTGGATAAACTGTTTCTTATGAATGTGACCTACAGACAGGTGGTGAGAAAGAGACTATGTGCCCTTTTTGTCTGTGCCTGTGGCTTGCTGTATAGGCTATAAATAGAGCAGCTTTGAGGGTTAAATCCTCATTGTCAACACTAACGGCTGCATAGCTGCCCAAAGAAGGACTGGGAGGAAAGAGACCCACTTAACTGCTAATCACAGTTATTTCAGTAATATTTGAACGCAGCAATTCACATAAATCTAAGCAAGTGCTGTGATGAATTCAGTCACTAGATAGAATTCACGAATCACGATCAATGTTTTCGCTCAGCAATTTGCGTAGTGCGACTAAATACTGACACCTGCAGGGCATGAAATGAACTGCACCGCAGTGGACTCGTGTCGTCATCAATGTGAGACGAAACTGGGTGAAAGGGTTTTTCAGCCAGTCGTAGGGTGATTGGGGTGAATCTCTACGTTGAAGATGAACCTGAACAAACTTTTTGGTTTGTCAAGATCTGTCAGTCTTGGGCGAAATGTGTTCGCTGCACGAGTCGCGCAAAAAAGAGATTGTCTGCTTCACTTTCAGTCGCGGCGCTCCATTAGATCCAGTGCGAGGAGTTTGACTTATGCCAAAGATCTGTTCCTGGGCAAAGTCAACAAGGTAATGTCAACAAACTGCAGAATAATTTGTTGTGATACTGCTGACCACTTCAGCAAGGTCAAGGCGCTATATAATCAATAATGGCGACGATAGTGTTAATAATATTTATTGTTATTACAGTGGATGGTTTTCTTTTTGGTTAAACATTCTACTGCAATGCTACATTAAAATTATACATCTTTCAGGCCGATGTCTTTCCATACCCAGAAATCAGCAAAGAAGAATTAGAGGAGCTGAACCAACTTGTTCAGCCTGTGGAGAAGTTTTTCAATGAAGATGGTGGGTACAAAACAAGAGGGAATTATTGTGTTTTCGTTTCATTATTATGAGCTTTCTGTTCATATGTTGTATTGTGTTATATTATACTGACCACTTGTGATACTTTTTTTCTATATAACAGCAATTTTCATTTTTAAAAAGTATGTTAACAGGGTAACTGTAGTGCATTAAATGTAGTTAATTAACAATTAATAATTAACATTAATTTCAGAAATAGTTTTGCGCTTAATTGGAAGTAAGGAAATCTGCCATTTGTACAAAGGAAATGTAAAATTTTCTTACTGATTAGTGACTTTTACATCATAAAAAAACTTAACATAACTTTGTATTTATTTATTTCCAGATTTTATATATTTATATATACAGTGTTATTACCTGATCTCAGCTTTTGCGTTTTCATGGATGATATTCATACAAATTACTGGGGGAAAAAAGTGTCTTTTTTTCTGTACATGTGCAAATATCACCATAGTTGATTCTAAGAAGATTGACCATGAGGCCATGATTCCTCCTGAGACTTTGAATGGACTAAAGGAGCTGGGGCTGTTTGGGATCCAGGTACCTGAAGAATATGGTGAGACTGACCTCTGACTTTATACTTGGGACAATTTCTTATATATCATCAGAGAGTTTCATATTGTTTGCCTGTTTCTTCCAGGCGGTCTGGGCCTCTCAAACACCATGTATGCCAGGTTAGGAGAGATCACGTCTTTAGATGGGGCTATTGCAGTCACACTTGCAGCACATCAAGCCATTGGTCTGAAGGTGAGCAAATGACTTTCAGTGTTTCATTGTGAGTCCTGTATTAAAGCAATAGTTTACGCATAAATAAAAATTTGCTGAAAACTTTTTTTTAGAACAACTTGGTAATTAACTCTGTGTTTTAGGGTATACTGATAGCTGGAAACGATGCTCAGAAAGCAAAGTACCTGCCCAAACTAGCAACAGGAGAGCATATCGCAGCTTTCTGCCTCACTGAACCTGGAAGGTACAGCATTTAACCTGAGATTAAGAACTGATCATTTTTGGAATCTGCTTTAATTATTATTTTTAGATGAAATGTACTCTCGTGTGTTAGCGGCAGTGATGCTGCATCTATACAGACACGTGCCACGCTGACAGAAGATGGGAAGCACTTCTTGCTCAATGGCACAAAGGTGACTGCTTCAATCAGGTCATTGTGTTTGGCTTAGTGAAATCTCTTTATTGCATGATTTTGATTAAATGTTGATGTTTGCTCTCAAGTTTTGGATTTCCAATGGTGGCTGGGCAGACATCATGACTGTGTTTGCCAGAACTGAAGTTGTTGACAAAGACGGTCAAAAGAAAGATAAGATCACAGCTTTCATTGTAGAGAGGGCATTTGGTGGTGTCACCAGTGGCAAACCTGAAGACAAACTGGGCATCAGAGGCTCAAACAGTAAGTATCAACCTTCACCTACTTTTGTGCTTGAAGCTAATGTGGAAATGTATTAGTCATTGAATATTATTCCGCCTCAAAGCTGGAGAAAAACAAGCCACAGTTAAAAATGTATTTTTTATTAGAATTTTATATTGTTCTAAAAAAAATTCTGTTTCAAATAAATGCTGTTTGAGCTTTCTGTTCCTCAAAGACTCCTGAAATCCCGGTGCCCACAAACATATTAAACAGCACAACTGTTTTCAACATTTTTAATGAAAAAAAAAAAAGTACATTTCTTGAGCACCAAATCTGTACTGAATGATTTCTGAAGGATCAAATGACATTAACATGACATTTATTAAAATATAATAAAATAGAAAACAATTATTTTAAATTGTGGTAATATTTCACAATAGTACTGTTTTTATTGTTATACGTTCAAATAAATGCAGCCTTGGTGAATATGAGACATTTTTCAAAAACATTCAAAAAATCTTACCGACCCCAAACTTTTGCATGTTAGTATATATATATATATATAAATATAAATCAAACCAAGTGGCTTTTATTTCAAAGATGGAACAAATAGACATTCCTTCTTAAGTAAAAGATTTCACGAAAAATGGTAGGTTATATAAAAAATAGAAAAAAACTATGTATTTATTGTTAAAAATTTAGTTTTGTAATTGGATTGCATTTTTTGCATGAATGTTCGTTGAATATTTCTACATTTTTCGATAGCCTGTGAAATCACATTTGAAGACACCAAGGTGCCAATTGAGAATGTAATTGGTGAAGTCGGGGGTGGTTTTAAGGTGATCCAAACACACAGCACTGCACATGTTTTTAGCACTATAATGACATGATGTTGTGTTGACACGTGTCATGTACATCGTCTTTAGGTTGCCATGAACATTCTGAATAACGGGCGCTTCAGCATGGGCAGTGCAGGTGCAGGGATGATCAAGAGGCTGATTGGTAAGAACATGATTCTTTGAAAATTCACTCTTTCTCACATCCTTGTATATGTAAATATCTAATCTATACATCCTTTTAATTTAAATTAATTTACATGCCACATCATTCCAGAGTTGACATCAGAATATGCAGGCACGAGAAAACAATTCAACAGGAGCCTTTCTGAGTTTGGAATGATTCAGGTATGTGTTATATGTCATATTTAGTCATATTGAATGATTCTGTTGTTATTTGCATAGTTTATTAATAGCCAACAATATATGGTTTTATTTTGCTTTGGCACAGGATAAGTTTGCTACCATGGCACTGAATGCGTTTGTGATGGAGAGCATGGCTTATCTCACTGCTGGAATGATGGACCGACCTGGAGTCCCGGACTGTTCTCTGGAGGCTGCTATGGTCAAGGTAAAGTAACCTAAAATCATCATCACTTGAACTTTGTCTTATTATAAATGAAAAACAACACACTGGAGCAATGATTATTCAGGTCTTCAGCTCTGAGGGCAGCTGGATCTGTGTGAGTGAAGCCCTGCAGGTTTTAGGAGGGCTTGGCTTCACCAAGAACTACCCCTATGAGCGCTACCTCAGGGACTGCCGTATCCTCCAGATATTTGAGGTACAGATGAACATGATGGAAATGCTATATATATATATATATATATATATATGTATATTCTTGTTTTTACAAAATTTTTGATTAAATAAATGCCGTTGTGGTGAGCATAAGATACATTATATATATATAATTTTTTTTTAATTTTTTTTATTGAAGTCAAATTATCAAAATCGCTTTGTTTACTTTTAATGTACACTACCATTCAGAAGTTTGGGGCCAGTGTTGTTTTTTTTAAAGAAAAGTCTCTTATGCTCACCACAACTGCATTTATTTAATCAAAAATATAGTAAAAACAATAATATTCTGAAATATTTTTACATTTTAAATAACTGTTTTCCATTTATTTTTAAAAGTAATTTATCCCTTTGATTGTAAAGCTGAATTTTCAGCATCATTACTCTAGTTTTCAGTGTCACATGATCTTTCAGAAATCATTCTAATATGCTGATTTGCTGATTACAAAACATTTCTTCTTATCGATGTGAAAAACAGTTGTGCTGCTTAATATTTTGGAAAAATTGGAAACTCTGATTTTCAGGATTGTTTGATGAATACGAAGCTCAAAAAACATTTATTTGAAATACAAATATTTTGTCACATTTACTTGCAGAATAAAAATTATAAAAAAAATAAAAAAACTTTTGAATGATATTGTACTTAAATGCTTTAGTGAAATAAATTGAACAATTGTTTAAAAAAAAAAAAAAAAAGGTTTACAACATTTTTATTTTTCATTTTTGATCACCAGGGGGCATGTTGTGACAAATGCAAAGCACAGAATGAACATGCAAAAACAATTGAATATATTATATTATTAAGTGTTATTTTCTTTCCTGCTTTAAGGGCACCAATGAGATTTTGAGGATGTACATTGCACTTACCGGAATGCAGTACGCCGGAAAGATACTAACAGGAAAAATAAAGTATGTAAGAAATATAATGACTTTCATTATTATTAGTTTATAATACGTTTATTTAAAAGTAACACAACTGCATGCTTTGATATGTGGCATTGTCTTCTCACAGGGAGATGAAGAAGGGAAATGTGGGGGTGGTGTTTGAGATTCTGGGAAAGAAATTGAAGGACTTAGTAGTGAAGACGGTGGACTTTGGACTGACTGGCAAAGATGGCGTTGTGCACCCCAGTCTGACGGTACAGAACAATGCTGCTTGTGCTCTATATAGCTGTAATCTGTCATAATACAGAGTAAAAAGACACCAGTGGTGGTCATAAACTGAATGTACGTCATGGTAATAACAGCAGCACAGCGATGTCCAGTAAAAGTCTTGTCACCCTCACATCAGATCTCGCCTAGTTCTCCTGCCAGTCACATTTCATCAGGCGGAATCCTTCCTTCTGATCTCTCCTTTAAACCCGTGTGGTTGGGTAATTGAGCCCGGCTTGTGTTCAGAGGAGTGATGATGTCATCTTTCTCCCACAGGAGAGTGCCAAAATGTTTGAGCAGAATGCTGCACACTTCGGCTCCACTGTAGAAAGCTTACTGTACCGGTATGGAAAGGTAAAGTTGTGTGAAGCTGTTATTTACTATTTATTGCATTATTTTGAAACTCTTGAAGCAGTTTTAATTTTTAATAGATTTCTTACATATTTTTACAAAAGTTTTTCATGTTTTTTTAATTATTTGTATCAGTCCTGCAGACTCTGGATGATGGGTCATGTCATTCCAAAGCAAAACTCTTTCTTTATACATAAAAACAGATATTTATAGTAAACTAAGCCTCATAGTCACCATTCCCATCAATCTCATTTTCCCCACCATCAGTTTTTAATCCAAGTTTGTGCACATTCCTCGGATGCTGCCAGAAAATGAAAAATTACCATTAATTTAACATACAGGCGTGGTTTTTTTTTCATGTAACGCACAAGGTAATTAGCGTGGGCCATCAGCGCTGCTGGGACCACGTCTCTGGTCCCTTCTTTTCTGTTGGGCTGAGGTAATGCTCATGTGTGACACAGCTGGCCTCACTCTCTCTTTTCTGAATGAACATCTGTGTGGCCTTGCTGTTGTAATCAGACTTCTGTGACAAGAGAGCAGCCTGGAACTGCTTCAGATTTCCACAAATTTTTCCTTTTGGAACGCATTATGCTTCATCTTCGTTCATTCTCATTTGTAGGAAATACTTAAAAAGAATAAATCCCCCTGCCGCAGTGTTTTTGCCTACATGCTGTGTGAAATACAAACTGTAGAGTGGCAGGCACAGGATGTGTTTGTCTCTTTATGGGAGTTACCGTTATGACAGCCTTTATTTGTTCTACTTTGAGTGACCTAGATCACCTGAAATATCTTGAAATATGATATTGAGTTAGTTTCATTCTAAATACTGACAAATATGCTTTTACATGATTATATTTTTAAAAATTAATAAAAAAAATTACATTTTATTATAATAGAGAAGTGATTGTCATCAAGACTATGAAATAACAGAAATGAAACTCTTTTTTTATATATATTAATCTAAGTGTTAGTTTTGTAAATAGATTTTAAAAAATAAATTAAAAAAAGGTATTTTATATTTATCTGCAATGCTACTTCCAAGCTTAAACATTTTGATCAAAATGGATTTTAGGATCATGAGAAACATAAATTCAGTCAAGTGTGTCCAAGCTATTTATCACACCACTGCCGTTCAAAAGTTTGAGGTCAGTAAGATTTTTTTTTTTTTAAGAAATTAATAATTTTGTTCAGCAAGGGCGCTTTATATTGTTCAAAGATGTCGGTAAATAATTTTGAAATGTTACAGAAAAAGTCTATTTCAAATAAACGCTGTTCCTTTAAACATTCGATTCATCAAAGAATCCTGTAAAAGAAAAAAAAAAGTATCACGATTTCCACAAAATATTAAGCAGCACAACTGTTTTCAACAGTGATAATGAAAGAAATGTTTCTTAAACACCAAATCAGCATATTAGAATTATTTTTGAAGGCTTATTTTAAACTGAAGACTGGAGCAATGGCTGATGAATATTTAAACTTTTGAATGATAGTGTACATAGAAAATAAAATCATGAACTTTATTGATTCTTATAGAAAGCATTTTGTCAGAAACCCCTAATATTCACTTGTGCATCTTACAGTTTCACTTATCTCTAACTCCATCTGTTTCAGACAATCGTTGATGAGCAGCTTGCGCTGAAGAAAGTTGCAGATGTATTAATTAACCTCTACGCCATGACAGCCGTCCTGTCCCGGACCAGTCGCTCCATCAGCATTGGCCTGCGCAACCATGACCATGAGGTAACGGACTTTTAAAAGTTTCACACTGAGGTCACAAGGTCAGTTTCAAAACAAGCCACGTTGATGGAGCACATTACCTGGACCTGTAAACCTGATTCTCAGTTTTGAGAATTGCCTCTAGACTTCAACCTAGGGCTGGGCGATATAGCTAAAAAATTCATCAACGATATAATGTTTCATATCGTTCGGTATCGATAATTATTGACATTTTTTATAACCTTTTTTAAAACAAAGAGCAATAGAAAAAATGTTTAAATTTAACCACTGTATTTTTAAATTAACCCAATTTATTGAGACAAACAACATATATTTTTTGTTTTAACAATCGAGCACAAAATAAAAATTAAACGAATATCTAATTTCTAATGTTTTATATGCAGATTAAATGGGTTTTAAGGAAACTTTTGTCTCGTCTCCCGAGGCCACAGGAGGGCACAATGAGCAAAATAATGCAGCACATTTAAATTGTCGACGTAAGGAAGTAACTATTAAAACGTGCATTATAAATTAATTTCTAAATTAACTCATAAAAATCAAATATAATTTAGTAAATTGCATAAACAATTATGAACAAAACAGCATCATGTATTTACGCATTGCTTAATCCAAAGAGCCGAAGCGCCATTCACACAGACTGCATTTAAAAACATATGAGACGCACTGAAAAAGAAATAAACTTCCACAAATTCGTGACCTGTTTTCTAAAAGTTTCAACTGTTTTAACTTTGCATGGCTTTCTATACATCTCTTGTGTGAGACGCGTGTGCAGCAGTCATATTTGTCCGTCTAATAATGCGCTGAATATGCGTTCTGTGTGAAAGCATGGCTTGGTTTCGGTTTTAACCTAATCAAGATCTTCTCCGCATTGAACTTCTATATTTCTCTAATATTTTGAATGAATAAAGCCGCAGCGGCGCGTCTCCTGGGCTAGACTAACAAAACATTAAAATGCAACAACGTCACTTACATCATTATCACCGCATCTGGCGTGCCATTGATGACGCTCCCTGACGCACACCTAACATTCAAATGCAAATGTTTATTTTAAATTCGACTAATATTCATTCTTTATTCACAATCTCCTCATCAAAGGCACTCATTTCAGCATGTGTTCGTGTTTGTGTGTGCTGTCTGCGTCACTCATCATAGCACATGCCTATATCGAACATTTTTTATTTCGTTATCAAAGAAGGTGTACCGTCGATAAATATCGATACCGTTTTATTGCCCAGGCCTACTTCAACCTTTTGTTCAGTGTTCAGTCAATGAAGGATGCAATGTTGAACAAGTACAGATTAGGGCAAAAAGAAGAAACGGTTCATTTACTTGACCCATTTAGAGGACTAAACTTGAAAGGATCATTTTATTTGTTTGTGGACGTTGCAGTGTGACAAAAGAAGCATTTCTTCTCAGAAGTGGATTGGTCCCGGGAGGCATTTCGATAAGCTGAATTTTAATTAATAGCAGCAGGTCTGTTTTAATTTTGCATGAGAGAAACAATTGACGGAAACAATTTAATGACTTGTCATGCTGAGACTGTGCTGCTTGCTTGCATATTGGCCGACCCATAAATAGTTATAGAAGGTTATACACACTTTTAAATCTACATTTCATAATTCTGTGGTGGTATGTTTTTTTTTTGGCTGTTCAACTTTTGTGAAATTGTTCTTAGGTCAAAGAGTGTAAAATGATTTTGCCAACATAAACCTCATAATCAAGGAAATTTGCTTGCACATTAATTCTAAAATCGTTAATGTAAACAGCCTTGTTAAATCTCTGCTGGCTTTCAGGTGCTGCTCACCAACACTTTCTGCAAGGATGCTCATTTCAAGAACAACTTCTTGTTGACTCAGCTTCAAAAAAGTGAGTAAAATGCACAGCTATAATTGATACCAGCCCTTCTCGTTTTATTGCATAGCAAGACAAAGCGCTTGCACATGTTGTAGAATTTTCTCCACAACCTTACAAAACCATAAGTCCGTCGCTAACACTTGCATGCGCTCTTCATACTGTTCCAATTATTGTCTGCCTAATAACTCCAGTCAATGCAATGCATTAGATCAGAGCATTCAGTGAACGGACTGGGACTTGTTTGTTTTCTCCAGATTCCCCAGAGGACAACGATGCCAACACAAAGAAGATCGCCCAGGAGGTCTTAGCCAAGAGGGCGTATGTCTGCTCACATCCTCTCGACAGAACCTTCTGACATGTCTGACAGGCTTCCCACAACCTTGTGTCTCAGTTTAACCCAACAAAAGTGAGAGTAACTGCTGTGATAATTAAATAGACTTCTCAGAATATGCAGTATTGATTGAGCCTCACTCTTCAATGTTTTAGTTCTTTTTATATCAGTTTTCTATGACATATAGTGTCACCTAAGTGCTTCTTAATATTCGTCGAACAACATAAAATGTGAACACAAAAGTGATTTTGAAGCAATACCTTTAATGCACATGTAAGGTGATGTCTTTGTTGGTTCTCATCTCTGTGATGTTTCTGCTGTGTTTGAAGTAGGCAGTTATCATATGTGTCTTTGGGGCTTCAGAAGGTTTCTGGAAGGAGTGTGTGCTTTTCTCTTCATCTGTGAGTGCTAAAACACTATGCTTGTGGAGGAATGAATGTGGCCTCCGGTAATCTCTGTTAAAAAATCTAAACGTTAATGTCAGAGCAGTTTAAAATGTGATACATTTTTTTCTCAGTTCTGCACCGCAGTGCTTCCAGAACGTTCTTTTTGTTTGTTTCGACAACTTATATAAGTAGTGTGAATGGTTCTTTCTCCTTTCCAAGTTGGGGTGCAGTAATTTAGCCTATTATTAATTATTAAAACAGTACAAACTGAAGCACAAGGATTGTGTCTAACCTGAAGTGGAATTTGCTGAACTGGGATGAGTATCTTGGAATTGTGTTTTTGTCCCAGCTCAGGCTGTGGTTCTGAAAGGGTCCAGGAGCAAATGGAATATTGGCCTCCCTCTCTGCTGAGCCAGTCTTTTCAGAAGACTGGACCACAGAAATAACAGGAATGGACTGAGAGAGGGGAAAAAAATACAGGGATTAGATCTCAAAAATTCTAGTAAGCCTAAACGGTTTACAGAATCCTGAAGTATGTTTTTGAAGTACGTTGGACATTTGTCTGTTAGGAGATATAACAATCTGCTCTGTCCATGTGATTTCTAAAATTGTTTTAAGTTAATCTAACAATAAATCTGATATAATTTTCAAAATGATGTGCTTCTTAATATTCGTCGAACAACATAAAATGTGAACACAAAAGTGATTTTGAAGCAATACCTTTAATGCACATGTAAGGTGATGTCTTTGTTGGTTCTCATCTCTGTGATGTTTCTGCTGTGTTTGAAGTAGGCAGTTATCATATGTGTCTTTGGGGCTTCAGAAGGTTTCTGGAAGGAGTGTGTGCTTTTCTCTTCATCTGTGAGTGCTAAAACACTATGCTTGTGGAGGAATGAATGTGGCCTCCGGTAATCTCTGTTAAAAAATCTAAACGTTAATGTCAGAGCAGTTTAAAATGTGATACATTTTTTTCTCAGTTCTGCACCGCAGTGCTTCCAGAACGTTCTTTTTGTTTGTTTCGACAACTTATATAAGTAGTGTGAATGGTTCTTTCTCCTTTCCAAGTTGGGGTGCAGTAATTTAGCCTATTATTAATTATTAAAACAGTACAAACTGAAGCACAAGGATTGTGTCTAACCTGAAGTGGAATTTGCTGAACTGGGATGAGTATCTTGGAATTGTGTTTTTGTCCCAGCTCAGGCTGTGGTTCTGAAAAGGTCCAGGAGCAAATGGAATATTGGCCTCCCTCTCTGCTGAGCCAGTCTTTTCAGAAGACTGGACCACAGAAATAACAGGAATGGACTGAGAGAGGGGAAAAAAATACAGGGATTAGATCTCAAAAATTCTAGTAAGCCTAAATGGTTTACAGAATCCTGAAGTATGTTTTTGAAGTACGTTGGACATTTGTCTGTTAGGAGATATAACAATCTGCTCTGTCCATGTGATTTCTAAAATTGTTTTAAGTTAATCTAACAATAAATCTGATATAATTTTCAAAATGATATTTGACTGTCATGCATATTTTTATGTTCTGCATTAATGTCATTTCAGGAAATCATTTAGCTTTTTGTTACTTTTAAAGCCATTCCTGGCCTCTTTGGAGAATATTTCATGGGCTTGTCCTTCAGTATGTCTTCTAGTTTATCCAGACCAGCTTTCTTCATGTGACAACTGAACTCCGGAACTCTACCACTTCCTGTAGAGGTCTCATCGAACAACATCTTCCTCTGGCACCTGTTGTACTGAGCATGTACAGCCTGGAGCTGTCCCTCATGGAGAGGCTCCCCTAAACAAAATACAAGGTAAAATGAGCCCACTTGAGTCTTGTTTCATACAAATGAATCGGGCGCCATCTTTTTTTAGTTATCGATTGTACTGAAAAAAGACATTAGAGGACTTCAGAATTAATACAATACAACATAATACTGTTGCAGGGCTCCTTATGTTACTAGATTGCATTTTTTTTTTTTCTTTGAATGCGTTATCATGCGCAAGTACAACATATCCACCTACCATATGGTTACACAGGAAAACGATAGAAAAACAGCAGAGTGGAATACGAAAATGGCCCTAGTTGACTTTTCCTTTAGTGGAAGCTTTAAGATAATATACAGGTTAAAAAAAAAAAATTTTTCATGTCCATGTAAATATTTATTTGGTGAGTAGTTGTGTAGTAATAATAATTGTGTGATTTGTTAATGTTAAGAGAATGTTACCAGCCAAATGAATGCTCAGGGGGAGCGCTGGCCCAAACTCTTAACGGGGGCTTTCAGTAAAGTTCAAAATCCTGATATCTGTGGATCCATGACAGCCTGGATCTGGAAAGTGTTGGCTTCAATTTGTTCCCATGGAGAATGTTTTCTCTCCAAGGCTGTGAACAAAAATAAAAAACATTAATCCCATGCTGAAAACCGCTGACAATAACGAATTGTAAAGACACAAATATACATGTTCAGTTGTCAAATAGGAGAAGCTGCTAATGATAATATCAGTCTGTCATCTGTAAGGTTCACATTTTTGGGTGCTACACTCATGTTCAGCAGGGAACAATAAGTTACAGACTCTGAAAGGCAGATAAATCAATTTCAGGCAAGCACATGCTTCTAGAGTCCCATGAGTCAATCAGCATTAGCCCTGTCACCGAACTTGCAATCAAATACTGTCTTAAGCTTTGGGGATCTGTAAAGAGGTGGGCAAGGTAGGTAAACATCAGTAAAACTCTATCTTCTTGCTTAAGCTCTTAGGAATGTCCATAAAGTTGACATTGCACTGAGAGGGAAACATGACACAGATGGGGGTAATGGTGGTATCGCAACTCTATCTGAGCATCGTCTGGTCACTTTGGGTGCTGGTTAGATTCAATACTGCTCTTAAAATCTGGGTAAGAGATGCGAATGCAAGTGGAGTCCTAGAAAGAGGATAAATAATCACATTTCGCCAAATACAGCTTAAATACGGATATAATCTCAAAAAGGCCCAGCAACCTGCCTAAGCACATCACAGAGATCTTTTTTCAAAGTTGAACAATTTATTTTGGTTAATGCAATTAATGCCAACCTTCAAAAGTTCTCTGTAGAGTAGTTCTCTACCCTGTTCATTCTTTGAACAGTAATATTTACCAAAAAAGTTTGTAAGTCACTACTCGCCCTGTGGATGTCGTCAATATTTGCCTGAAATAAAAAATGCATTCAATCAATTGCTAATTCAGTTGCCTTCCAAACCCCATTTGATAAGCATATCAGTCATTCATTACCTGAATGAAGTCTTTCACATTTTTACCCTCATTCTGTTTCCATTGGAAATATTCTCTGTTGAAGTTGTCTAGAGGTATGCGAGTTCTCTTTCTAATGTTATGATGATCAGGTATATCCTGAGATTGCTTGGTCTCTGTTGCCAACCATAACTCTCCTCTCCCAAAATCCGATCCAAACTCGTTGCTTAAGCTTAGAACCATGTCGGCTGATGGGAACAGGTCATGGTGCACTACTTCTTGAAGCTTCTTGGCTTGGCAGATGTGGCTTATACTAAAAGTTTAGTTGGAAATATAAAAATTTTCTTGAACAATATCTCAATGTTTCACTACATTTGTTTCACTAGTTTTAGCAATTACCACACTGAATACTTTTTTGTGAAGTATAATGCATCCAATTACACATGGTACTTCATTTTGAAATTGTAGTAAAACATTAATACTATCCTAAACCAATCACTGTGCTGTCTTGTAGCCTACTGAGAAACCCAAGAAAAAAGGACCATGCTAGAAAGAAGGTGGCAAAAGGGAGATGCTCTTTGGGTGTAATTGCATTTTTACCGTTTCATGGCTTCAAGACCGGCTTGAGGAACCATATTTCTGATAAACACCAGAGGCTCCATCAAAATGGTCTCAAGTGGTTTCACAAGGCAAACTGGACTCAGACCCATGTCAAGCATGTCATACAGTCGCTTTGAGAAACTCAAGTCTGAGTTATACAGCACAGTCACCTGTTCCTCATCATCTCCATCCAACCTGGAAAAGATCAGATCAGTCTGTATGATCTTTGGGAATTTTTGATGCATATTGGTAAATGTTGCGCACATGTGGGAGCGATTTAAATGATTACTCTCTAACTTCATAGGCACTGTAGTCCACAGTCTTTTGACTGCTTGATCCTTCAATCCTTCCAGAATAAAAAGGTGTAGAGCCTTATCCGTCATATGAAATCCAGTGAGAACATTCAGCCTTTTGTTCTCTCTGTCTTTGGTGTTTATTTTATGACCAGACTTGACCCTTTGAATGGTTTCCTCTGGATAACAGTTTAGTTGGAAGGCATCTGCATTGATTTGTAGAATTTCTGATGTCAGTTTGGCTAAGAAGGGAGTATTGTTATACTTGAAGACATAAATCATGCAACCAAAAGGACAGTTTCCTTCACTGTTGCTATCTTCAGGATGAAGGGTGTGTGCTATCTCCACCTGGACTTTCAGTTGGGCGTCAGCTTCAAGATAATGACCCACTGGCATTGCAATATCTGAGGGAACCTCAGAAGAACTTCTGAGTTTATTTTGCTTAGAAGCAGAAAGCACCTAATGGGCAGTTTCAGCTTCAAATAGTTGCATCCTCGAAGAAGATCTGAACGATCTAGTTTTGCTATGCCATATGAATCATGAAATTCAGTATCTCCTTTTAACGCATTACGAGTAGCCCATAAATCATTTTTGCCATCACTGAGGTCAGTCCCAAATATAGCTGGTGTACTGGAGGGTTTTTGCTTTTTTCTTTCTCGATCATGGACCTCGATCTTCATGGGTGGACCTCTAAGAAACTCAGAGGCTCAGAAGGCTAGTAAAAATCACATTTACATCCTTGAAGTAGATGTTAGCATTGTGATCATGGCCTTTGGTTCTGTAAATAGGCATGTTGTGGAACTTTTACTGGCAGTAGACGTTAAGACATTTTGCCTGTTGAAAGATGAATGTGATTATTCCTAATTTGTTTAATATGTTCATGTTGAATAATCAAACTAATAATTTCTGAAGTAGCATACCTTAAGTACACGGAAAGGGACTGGAAATGATGGTAGAGAAGAAGCTGATAAAACTGTGATGACTGCTGCTTGGATTTAAGTGGCTGATCAAGAGTGATGTTCCAGAATCCCTCTTTTACTCCTCCGGAACAAAATCCCAGGCAGTCAGTGATCATCATACTCCCTAACATGAAGATGCAGTACATGCCAGCCATGATGTTTGAAAAATATATATCATACACTACCTTTCAAAAGTTTGGGGTTGGTAAATTTGACTTTTTTTTTTTTTTATGTTTTTGAGAAAGTCTGTTATGCATTTATTTGATCAAATATACAACAAAATATTGGGAACTAGTTTTTAAAAGCCATTACTCCAGTCTTTCAAAATCCTTCAGAAATTATTCTGATATGCTGAACATGCCAGCCATGATGTTTGAAAAATATATATCATACACTACCTTTC